GTACTTACTTAGTTTGTTTAATACTCAGAAGCAGAGAAGAAGATTTCCAAAGAATAAGTGCATTTTCACTATATAATCAATAGAGCCCCCCCCCCTAGCACTAGAACCCCCTCACCCTGGGGCCATAAAATTCACAAATCTGGAAGAGGCACTCTTGCTCATGATAACTGTGTACTTAGTTAGTTTATTTAATACCTAGGAGCACAGAAGAAGATTTTCAAAGAAATAATGCATTTTCACTATACAATCTAAATAGCCCTGCCCTAGCACTAGGGGCCATAAATTTCACAATTTGGGTAGAAGACTCAATGCTCATTACAATCATGCCAACAGTTTGCCTGCTTGATGTCCAAGAGTAAAAAAGAAGATTTTTAAAGAATGCAATAATTTTAGTGGTTTTGGCCACACCACTCAGGCCCCAGGGGGCTGGGGACAATGAAATTCACAATTTTTGTCCCCCTTCACGCTTAGAGGCTGTATGCCAAATTTGGTTGAAATTGGTTCAGTGGTTTCAGAGAAGAAGCTGAAAATGTTCAAATGTTAACACACGACACAACGTATGACGACGGACGAAAACAGATAGCAATAGGTCACCTGAGTTACTCACGTGTCCTAAAAAGTTTATGACCGACAAGGACAACGATGACAACAACGGACAAATTTTCATCAGAAAAGCTCAATTGAGCCTTTGGCTCAGGTGAGCTTAAATGATTTTACATGTACTAGAATCTAACAAAGTTGAATACATATTTACAACTTTTTGAAATATGTATTGAAACTTAGAAGGTAAGAAAAGATTGTCCTATAAATTATCATGAAAGACAAAATTCTGTTAATGGCAGGGAACTCTGTTCTACATCTATAACCCCAGGCTCGATATACAACTTATTGATTGAAGACATACAGATTTCCTTCGACATAAGACAAAAAAATGTGTGAAAAATTACTTTGATACCTGCAATTTACCAAGGCAATTACCACACCAATCCTCTAGACAATTTGTGTTCTGTAAAGACATTTTGTTTATTATAGAAATTAGTGTTGTCACGATGATCGATTTATAGTTCTTTTGCACACAGAGAGCCGCCATATTGATTTACCTATTTATGTATGCGTGTCAAAGGTCATAGGGGAAAAAAACCAGCGTAAACAAATATGGATGCCACTTGATGTTGCGAATTTCTGTTACCTTTTTCGATATTTTACTGGACTTTTGATACGTTTTACACACATATTTTGACACCTTTTTTCCACATCATAGACACAGAGGACAAGACTGAATTACAGGACCATGAACATGATGAGGACTCGGCAGTTTTATCAATAAACCAATGTAAACATAACCTGACTGTATATGAGCTTCGCGAGTAGGGGCCTGTATGAAAACTGCCTGGCAAGATTAAAAGCGTGGAATGGAGAATTGGCCATAACCTTTAATCACCGATATAACAGTGTTTTTAATAAGGTATATATCCAGTAAATAAAAATTATTTAATAGACAAAATTACAAAAAAAAGATGTAGATCAACTTTGACTTGTTCAAGAGCTCTACAGAGCTCATGTTTCTTGTCATGTAATGTATACAATGCCGACTTTAAATAAAATTTACTTACTTACTTACTATGAATACACATAACACAGAAATATGTGACTATCAAGATGGTTTTGTAGCATATTATAATAAACATATAAATTTAATGAGCTGCAATATATAACAGTTTGATCAGTAATCAAGCTTAATTATGGTTTCATTTGCTTTTTCATCACTTCTGCAGATATATCCTAGGGGGTTCAGGTCACGTGACTTTCACCTGTATTCGGTGCTGCAGGGTTCTCCATCATTTGAAATGTTACTGTGTTGCAGAGTTTACGCAAAGAATTAAAATTTCGCTGTATTTTCGCGATCAAATTCGCAAGAGAATCACTATTCATTAAGATACGTACAAAAGAATACATTCACTCACTTATTTAAAAATCGCTTATTCGTTACACAAATGGTCTTGTCGTACATAATAGTTTACACGATACAGTCGGACTACACAACATTTTTAATTTCAAAGTAAATTTGCCGTGATTATTTATCAGTTTTCTTGATCGAGCTATCGCATTATAAAAAATGAAACTTCTGTACAGTAAAATATTCAAAGAGTTCCTTGAACACGCTCAAAATTTTAAGCAATTTATTTGTATCAATTAAATGTCTTTGGTATGATGTTATGTCTTACTTAGAGAGCTAAAAAAATTCTAGAGCCATGGATCTATAGAAAAGACATATTTAAATATTTTTTTGAATAATACAATGTATTTTATTGCAACTTCCAATTAACGGTTACATGAGAGTGTGAAAACAAATTATTTGTCTTTGTTCCGTCATGCATGAAGTTCGCCGAGGGACTAGGAAATAATTGTTAATGCAAGGTGAAGCCCTAGTAATTAAGTGCTCTAACTTTTGGAATTGAAAGTAATATAATTGTTTGATTAAAGTTTCAGTTAGAAAGAATTTGTGTGTTTAGATTTTCTAATAACACAGATCTTACCGTGTCGGCAAAACTTTTACTGTGTCGCATGCATAAAATTTGAATCGTTACTGTGTCGGAGAATATTTAAATGTGTCGGGAGCAACACAGTAAAACAGCTCATGGAGAACCCTGGTGCTGTTTATACGCATTCATTGGCGTTTTATAAACTTATAATTTAAACACTGCATAATTAAATAAAGTACAAATGAAATAATAAATGATTTTTATAATCTTTGAACTCTTGTATGACGTGAAAATCATGGCATTAAACAGTGTTTACAATTAAAATTCAGCAAGTCAAAGTTGTACTAAAATTAGAAATCGGATTTCCCTATCTTTGCATGACGCCAAAATTCAGGCTCCGTTGTGTTGATAGCGTCTTTTTGATTGGCTTTCCGGAAGCTGTTACCTAAGGGATGTACGATATGGACTAATCATATGAAAGCTTATATATCGTAGATTGACAAGGATTTTGTTGCATTTGGAAGCGATGAGCAGAAGTTTGTTTTTTTTTTCGTTTGGAAGAAAAGAAATCCAGTCTATCACGGTAAACAATTGGAATATTTTAATGCAACATATGCTATCAGAGAGCTGAGAATTTTTACTTCATGAATATGTTTGTATTGTAACAATATCTAAAAACACATCACCCGGAAATAATTTTCAAAGTAGGGAGATCGCAGCCTTGACGCGGCTTTTGAAAAGTGTGGAAAAGTACTTGTATCGTGCTTACTTTTTACCGTAATATGGCTATTAATATTATAAATGTCAGGTTAAAAATATTTTATGTCAATATGAGATTTGCTAGACTTTATATTAATATATCAGTGTGTTGAATTTTGTAGCCAGAATTTCCTCAGAAATTGAATTACTTACACATTTGTCAAGTTCTGGTGAATGTTGAAGCATATGATTAGGGATTTTGTTGTTTTGCTTCTGAACACAATACTTTGTGGTTAAATATTTTTAATTACAGCAAGCATTTACAGATATATAGACTGCTGGAGAGTGCTAGAATCGAGGCAGACAGACTCAACTCAAGCTGATTCAGACTGAATATATAAGGGATTTTTAACTTACAATTAATATATAAGACTTTATGTCATGTCACACTGCAGAACAGTGAATTTCAAATCTTTTCATTAGTTTAAATTATTTTAAATGATTTATACAGGTCAGACAACCTGTTTATGAGCCATGGGTATGGGTATTTTTATTCTGCATCTGTTCCTGTTTTTGTTTTTGTTTATTTTTTTAATTTTAGATTTTGTGTTTGACATTGATGATTTTTAATCCAATTTTTTTTTAAAACTCATTTTGCTTTTTAAAGGATACTGATGATAAAAATGTTATGAAATTAAATTCAACCATTGCTATATTACAAATCAGTCATAATATGAATTCATATTAAATTATATTTCTTTTCAAAGTGAATAAATTTCATCATATACATATTTACAATATTTTACACATGTAATACAATATTTTACCATGTAATATATACTGAACAAAAAAAGAAACGCATAATCAGAATAATTTGAAATTCTAAGTTTTCAGTTTAAACCTTGTATTAATGTAAGCGATTTTAGAGTGTGTTGTGATAAAAATCAATGTTGCAAATTGAAAAGTCAAGTTGAGGTCATTTTCATTGCCCCCAAATTCAAGGGGCATAACAATATTGACTGTGCAAAGTCTCACTGTTAGTGGGTTTCCAATGTACGGATATCGTGGGGGAATATCATCTCATTTTAGTCTCATGCGAACATTTTATGCATTTTTATGCTGATTTTTTCATCCAGCAATTGTAGCAGCAGTTTTTACAGCAAGTTCTGAATCGCATGAAGTGATGAAGGGGTGGGGGGTCTGACGGTCCTACCTGGTTGTGGTTACCTGCGAATGGCCAGATAGTGGTCTTCAGACGTTAGGTTTAAGGTTACAAAGCCCATTGATTTATTTCAAATACAGTTGCAACTTCCTGTTGCGTAGCTACATTTAGTATCATCGTTAGCCTGGTTGTATTTATCTTTGTTTGGGCGTGGCATTGCAGTATTAACACTGCAATCAAATCTTAAATATGGGTTTAATAGAAGTGTTAAAAGTTTCTCTAAATCCAAAATATCAATGAAAATAGACATCTGATTTAGAAGAAATCATGAAAAACACTACTTTCATAAACATGTTTAATCAAGGGAGATAATTCAACACTTGGGTTTTAAAACCCCATGTTGTACTTTAAATAGGTCACAGGTAACCAATGATATAAAAAATAGTTGTTTCATGTACATTTTAAAAATTTCTTTGACGAGTAAAACAATATGCGTTTCTTTTTTTGTTGAGTATATATATACTTGTTTTGTAGCAAAACCTTTGATAAATATTGATGTAGGGGGAAATTTTGGGACTGTCCAAAAGAAAATAACAAATTCAGAGATTCTGAAACTATTTCCATCAACAATGACCTTTACTCAATGCTTAGAAAGTATGAGTGATGAAACCCGCCAACAGTTTTCAAATGTAGATAGGAAGGGGTTACAAACAAAAATTTCAAGGACAGCAAAGAAAAGCGGAGAGTTAAAAAGAAACAAAAATGAAGAGGAGTTAGCTGTCTATTTACAGTTTGATTTCATTCTTCCTCTCTCCAGAAAAGACCCCTCAAACTTTGGAGTTGTTGATGATGTCAAAAAAGAAAAACTAAATATTTTAACCACAAAAACAAAAGAGGTTGTCACTGAAAATCGCTCCCTTAAAAGAGACATCCAAAGCATTGAAGAAGAATATTCAATTTTAGAAACACAAATCACTAGAGCTGAAACAAAAGTCAACATCCTGCTATCATTACTGGAAGAAACAACAAGAAAAAATGAGGAATCTCTTAAATCTTCCAGAAGTGTAGAACAAATCAAACTAAGAAGCCAAGAGTGGGAAAATAAGTACAATAAATTATCAGACAAGTTAGAAGACACATTGAAAGAACTGAAGGAGAAAAAGGATAAACTTGAGTCAGTTACAAGAAATTCAACAAAAAAACTGAAGAGAAGAGACACAAAAATTGCTGAACAAAGTGATGATTTGAAAATAAGTGAGAGAGAATTGGCTTCAAAGTCAATGGAATGTGAGAAAAAAACTACAGAGCTAGAGCAAATGAGAAAAGAAAAGAGAAATTTACTTAAAAGTTTGTAGGTTAAGATCAAGAAGTAAGTCAAAAGATCAAGATAGAATGTCTGAAAAGTTGATGAGTGAGGTTGAAGATTTGAAAAGAGAAATTTCTATCAAAGAACGCAAAATTCTAGAGTTGGAGGACATTATTAATTGCATTGACAATGAAGTCATTCAGACTTTTCATGAAAGTAAGTATACCAATGAAATTAGAGAAACAATTATGACCCTTGTTACAGAGTTTGGGGTGAGCCAAAAAAAAGTCAATGGGGTAATTGAAACTGTTTTAAAAAAACCTCACAGGCAAGTCTTTATCAAGTTTGCCAAGTACCGGTGTTAAGTCGAGACTTTTGTCAGAGGTTAAGCGCATTGCTCAGTTGCAAGTTGCTGAGGCAATGCTCAAAGATGCAGAACAAAATGAAAATAACCTAGAGGGTAACTGCCTTCATCAAGATGGCACATCTAAATTCCATCGTCATTTCAGGTCACAGCAACACAAAATCAGACATATTCTTTGGGTTTATGTGAAGTTGGCAGTAGTGATGCCACTTCTTTAATGAACACATTTAAAGAGTTAATCGGTCAGTTGTCCCAAGCTCTTAAAGATTCTGGCAAAGCTGATTCGGACAAAACCCTTTCAAAATTAGTTGGATCAATTGTATCTACTATGTCTGATCAAGGATCAACTAATCCTGTCTTCAACAAACAGTTGCAAGATCTCAAACAAAACTGTATGCCAGAAATCATTGAGAACTGGGACAACTTGACTTTAGAAACAAGGTCTGAGCTAAGTAAAATCAGTTCATTTTTTTGCAAAATGCACATTTTTGTAAATATGGCTGGGGAAGTTGACAGATGTCTCAATGTTTTTGAAGACAGTATTGCACAAGGGAAAAATCCTTTTTCTTTTGAATGGAAAGAAAGTGGGGGTAGTAGGCTGACTAGAACGGTAAGCAAGGCCTTCACAATGATGGGTTGTGAAAAATCTGGGGTAGGGGGTCATTTCATGACGTTTTTGAAGGAAAAGGGAGAGCAAAATCATTTAATTTCTTTCAGGGGTCATAGATTTAATCATTTATTTTGTGTTGCCGGGTCCGTTTACCATCACCGACAACATATACAAGACTTTTTGTCATCTTGGACTGACCCCAATGACCTCTTGAAAAGTGTTTCCTTTGATATTAGAGAAAAGGGGTACATTTCCAGCATTCGAGCTTTGGGAATAATAGACAAGATGATTACGGGCCCTTTATGGAAACTTATTGAATCAGTTGAGAATGTTTTGGCCTTAAATCCTTATCTTCTTATTTTGAGAGACAAACTATCTGAATTGTGTGGTGATGCAAGTCCCCTTCTGAAAGGTGAGCCTATTTTTCCAGATGTCGCTATCAAGAGGGATCACTATATTGATTAACTTTTCATATATTCAGAAATTAGTTAAAGTCTTAGAATTTAAGATTTTAATTTTAAAAGTTATTTTTCATAAAGATAAATTGACTTCAAAACTTGCATTGATGGTGATTAATCTGCTTTAATACTTTTCTAATCTTTGTTTTACAATTTTCTTCAAATTTCACAGATGGATACTCTAGACATAAATGTGGATCCTTTGGAATTGCAAAAGTTTGAAGCCGAGGAGGCAGTGGCTACAGTATGGCCGGAGGCAGGTCAGATTTGCCCGATACAGCACTGTCCGTCTCGTCCGCATCTATTTCTGAAACTCGGAAGCTACAGAGCTCACTACTTGAGTTTCCATAAGGACATGTGTGCCATCTACTACTGTCCAAGTGTAGTCTGTCGTAAAACTTTCTACAAGTGCAATGACATGTATCGACACATTCATCAGGATCATCAGGATCTTCAATTTTGCGTTTAGAAGAGGTACACAACTAATCCTCGTTATATCGATCCCAAGGGATACTTGATGCCTCTACCAGCGATTCATTCACACTGCCAGATAATGCCAATCCTAGAGATGAGAGGTTTCCACCATGGGGATATAAACAATAACTTTGTTCATTTATATCATATTATTTGGAAAACGAAAATTTATTGTGTAAATTTTGTTTTTTTTACAGGGGGGGGGTGTAGTGGTTTAGATATTCATTTCATAGCCATCGTTTCGTAATTCATAATTTACAAGTATTTGCTGGTATTTCAGTCTGATAATTCTATTTACCTTTTGTTTTCAGTTGTTACTTAGGTAAAATCCCTTTATTATTAGTCTTTTATAAGTTAGGACATGAGTTGACATTCCACATGTTTTGCTTTTTAAACAGGAAGTGTCATCCATGTTGGCAGTCTTTCCGTAGTACTTTTGAGATCTGCGTTCTGATTGGTTAATTTAGCTTAGGATCTTTGATAGTCATTGGTTTTTATTTTTGGGCCTAGCTCGGGTATTTAAACGCGTGTTCGAGCAGTTTACTTCACTTGGTTAGGGATAAGCCTCATGGCACATTATCTCTGATTTGATGCCAACCTCAAGGTACATGGCATTATAGGTTTCAATTTTAGCACGTGCTGAGCGAGCACTTTATGATAGGTAAGGGGTGTAGGTTTTATAGAATAAAGTTATATGATAGGTTAGGATGTAGGTTATTTAAAGTAAATTAAGTTTCCCTTTCCAAGTCCTGCCTGGTCTAAGGATATGTAGATAACAGGTGTATTTTCTAGAACCACTATTCATTATTTATTTTTGGGTGGTGTTTATTTTCTGGGTCAGTTATTTTTAGAGCCTAGAATTAGTATTGATATTTTCAGATTAACTCTAGAGTGTTGATAGTGTCATATTGGGTGATGTAGCTCATTCCCTTTACATTTCTTTTTATCCATTTTTTGCCATTTTCATAAGTATGGAAGCTCAGTAGGGACATAGATTATTTTTCATGGTTTGGCCACATTCCTACCATTTTTCATAACATTTTTCAATTATGTATTTATTGAGATTATTCATTGAGATTATTGAGATTCATTTTTCAGATTAAATACATTTTTGATAAAGCTTTATTTATCCTGTGCCATTTTCGAAGACTTTTCTGTTTGTTAAATTTTGATCATTATTTATTATTTGTTATCATTTACAACGGTTAATTCTCACTTTATTAAATTGATAAAACTTACAACTGGGTTTTCATTTAGCGTTGACCATAGTTCAGAAATCCCCTTACCTGGGTTGATCATTGATAACTGGAGATAGTTTACTCCTTTAAGCCAAGTTGGCTAGGAATTTTGGTAATTTATACACTAAAGAGTTCTACTTCCGGTTACATGTTAAAGACCCGGGGGACGTTAAGTCTGCCTTCTGTGATTGTAAAGCATGGTGAGCATGACATACATTGACATATGGTGGTGCTTTGCGCTACCTCGCTATTACACATAAAGGTCATTAATATACAGGTCATTTGCAAAATGCTTATTATTTCCTCAGGGTTGAAATACCAGTAAAGTTGTATTTTTTTTTGCTCTTATAACATGTTTAAGTACAGGTTCAATTCAGTTCATACATGTTAAAATTGATATTGACCATCTGTATGGTTTAACTACTCAAAGACACAGTGATTTGCTGGGGAAAAAAATTGTGTATTTTTGTATCTCAGTTGATAGTTGAATGCGTAATATGACATGTATTCAATACTTTTGAGTTACCTTGCAATGGGGTTGCATGGTCAGTAGCTCTTTATCCCACTGAATCTCCATCAATATTTTAAAAGTAATAAAAATAATTTCAAAAACTTTCAATTTTGGATCCTTCTTGTAAAACTGTATTTTTAATTAATGCTTTCTTCTGCTCTCAAATATAGGTTTGGACAAACAAGTACCAATCATGTTGCAGGATTGAGGATAGTGAGGAGGACAACTTTTAAGCAACCTTTTCAGATGCATTTAGAGAAACCTTACCCGATGCTTGATTATTTAAAGGTAACAGACTACAATTCAATCTGTACCACATCATATAAATATATATTGATTAATCATGATGATAATAAAGGTTCTATTTTTTCACCATTAATAGAAATCTCTACATCTCAATCATCAAGGTTCCTCAATGAATAATAAAATAATAACCAGCAGGATGAATCGACAACTATTTGAACTTATTTTAAGTTAAACAGTTAAATTAATTAGTAATGCTTTATGCCTGGTATAATTTGTTAAATTTCATTATAGGCCTAGATGTTGATCCACCTCACCAAGCCAAGGGGAAGGAATCACACGCTTCCGGAGCAGATATGATTGTGGAGGATTGCTTACAGATCGAACAATACTACATGAAATCTATGTTGTCATCATTTGAACAATCTTCCACTAGTATAAAGATCCTTCCCTTTACCATTATATAAGTACCAGTACTAAAGGTCAATTTTCTAATAGTTGGAGTCTACATTTTGTATTGTGGTTATGCATATTTACCTGTGAATTGTCCATATCTGGGCTATATATGTTTTGTTTTTACATCATATTTGCAGACCTGCCTACCCTTTTCATTTCAAGGGTGTAATTTCAGTAAATTTTTGGTGGAATTTCAGAGGTAAAAGCGTAATCAATCATGTTTTCCTATTTTGATGCTTAACTCTAATTCCTTATGACGGGTTTTCTTAGCGGTCGTAAAATTTGGCGTTTTGCCTTGCTCTGTTATGCTAATAATTTTGCGTAATTTATTTCAGCGGACACATGGTTTCACTTCTTTGCAGATAAACACTAAGAAGACTACTGACTATTTTAGCGATTTAAAGTTTAGCGGACTACTATCAAAACGCCAAATTTTAAAATAAGTTAAGTAAGCAAACCCGCTATTGCGGTACATTTTCTTTCAAAACAACCGAAATGGTAAATTTACTAAACAAAGCCGGCAAATACTTTTCTTTTTCCAATCATTTATTGTCAAAAAAGAGTTTTAAAATACCAGTATTCTATGAAAGACTTAATACAACCGTACACCCTTAATGAAGCACTTGGTCCGTTTGTATCAACTATCAAATCACTTAAATGAAGGCTTGCGTTTGCATGATTGCACAAATCGTACA